CGTGTAGAGGCAAAAATCAGTAAATCCCCATTTTTCTCGCCATTGTGTTGCTGCAAACGACACATCCCCTAATCTCATAAGCTATCGTTATTCTCGTCGATGAGAGCAAGCAAGTCCCTGGAGAAAGTAAGCAGGTAGTGCTTTCGCGCATAGCAGGTCTCGTGTGCATGAATGTGTTGATTGCGCCTTTGTCTTTAATAAATCTCTCTTAGCTCTGCCAATTAGTAGGACTTCCTTCACTGAAAGCTTAGTAAAGTAGAGAGGAAAGAGGATGCACAACAAAGAGAAGCCAAGACCCATACCAAGGGGAGACCCAATAGCTAAGGGTGAAAGGGAGAATGGTGAAAGAGAACCACTTAGTCCAAAGGGAAGAAGACTAAAGACAACAAAAATGGGAGCGTAGAAGACCAGAGATGCCAAAAAAGAAAGGAAAGCAAAGCGGAGAGGACAAAAGCCAGCACACACTAAGCCAGGGTTTGAGCCTTAGGCAAGCCGGCTCAGCTCGGCTCGATAATAGCCTTATAATCATGCACCCATTCATTAAATATCTCCCAAAAAACCAAACATACATATTTTCTCTCCCACTAATCAAAGTTTTATCATCAAATATTAACCTAAAATTAATACAACTTAATTAAAATAAAGTCTCAATTTGTGAATCCTAAAAATTATTAAATTGAAGCTGAAAAAAAAATAATAATAAGCAAAATAAACAATAAATGGTGGTTGGACGTTGTGATTTGGCCAGACCCACCTAGATGCTTATTGACTTGTCTTGAGACCCTCACAGTGGCCAATTCTAGCCCTCGCTTAAGGGCTATACAATAACTAGCTTTGGATAGTTGAGAACTCGATCTCGGGCCATTGCTTGGCCCATTCGTGACAACTCAAATTTGGTTGTCCTGGGCAACTTCTTCCTTTTTTTTTTTTTTTTTGGGGGGGGGGGGGGTTGTGGAGGGGGACAGGAAGCTTAGAAGGGGGAAGAAGCTCACTCAACGAAACAGATTTTTCATTAGGAAATTTTTAGATTTTTTGTGTCGATCTAAATCTTCATAGATTTGTTTTATATAGTTGTGGAAGTCATCACGATGGAAAACATAGAAATTCATTCCAAAGAACTTTTCATGAAGATATTTCTATGACCAACTTATAGGGCTGTTAACGAGCCGAGCCGAGCCGAGCCAAGTTTTTGGCTTAACGAGCTCGGCTCGTAAAAAGAAAAAAAAAATTGGAGTCGAGTCCGAGTCAAGCCGAGCCTCTAATTTCTTGACTTAGCTCGACTCGTATAAAAAGAAAAAAAAATTCGAGGTGGCTCGCGAACCAAGTAAAAAACATACAATTTTTTTTTCAAAATTTGCTGTAGCTTTTCTCCTCCCACATTTATTACTCCTTCTTCTCTCTCTCTCTCTCATTTATTACTCTCTCTTTCACTTCTTTCCTCTCTAATTTATTATTGATTTGATTTGCCTTCTTTTCTCTCTTCAGACCAATGTTTTAAAACCTGGTGCGACCCGATCGGTTTAACCAGTTCGACTGGGACCCGGCCACTGAGCTAGGCCAGGCAGACTTACAAACTGGGAATATTAATCTACCTAGTTTGACCCGCGGTTGGACCGGTTTACTATAGCAATCCACCGGTCCAACCGCTTTTGGAAGAAAACCGAGTAAACTTTTATACCCGATTTTCAATTCCAAAAAGTGAGTTTCTTTTCTGCTTTTCCCCAGTTTTTCATTCCTTGTCAAGCCTTAACTCATATTTTCTCTCTTCCATTGTCGATCTCTTCATTTCATCTTCATTTCAACTCGTTACTTCTTCATATTTTTACTTCAGGCTGCTGGGTTTTTGTGAGGAGGCTATTAATTTTTGCGATTTTGGTCGATTTTGCGATTTGAATGAAGGAGGTTGCCGGGTTCTTTTTTATTTGAATGGAGTAAGCTGTTGGGATTTTTCGATTTGGTTAAGTGATTTGAATGGAGGAGGTTGCTTGGTTCTTTGAGAGGAGGCTGTTAGTTTTTGGCTTTTTGCTATTTGGATCGATTTTGCGATTTGAATGGAGGAGATGGCTGGGTTTTTTTCGACTTGAATGGAGGAGATTGCTGGGTTTTTTTTATTTGAATAGAGGAGATTGCTGGGTTTTTTCGATTTGAATGGAGTAGGTTGCTGGGTTTTGCGATTTCGGTCGATTTTGGGATTTGAATGGAGAAGGTTGCTGGGTTTTTGGGAGGAGGCTGTGGGTTTTTGCTATTTAGATTGATTTTGCAATTTAAATGGAGGAGATTGCTCGGTTTCTTTTATTTGAATGGAGTAAATGGATGCTCTTGGGTTTTGGGATTTAGATTGATTTTGGGATTTGGGTCGATTTTGAGATTTGAATGGAGAAGGTTGCTGGGTTTTTGGGAAGAGGCTGTTGGTTTTTGCTATTTAGATTGATTTTGCAATTTAAATGGAGGATATTGCTAGGTTTCTTTTATTTAAATGGGTTTTTTCGATTTGAATGGAGTAGGTTGTTGGGTTTTTGCGATTTGGGTCGATTTTGGGAGGAGGCTGCTGGTTTTTGCGATTAGAATGCAGTAGGCTGCTGTTTGTTTTATTGTGAGGGAGTTGGATTATGAGAAGGAGGAAGAAGCAGCCATAGTTTCAGAGAAGACTGATTGTTTTATTTTAGGATTTATAATTTTCAAAGTCATGTTGACGTCAGCACCGGTCTAACTCACCGGTTAAACTGGTTCAACCACCCAACCCGAGACACGGTCCCTTGGCCGGTTTTTACCTCGGATCGGGTATTAAAACATTGCTTCAGACTCCAATGGCAATGGTTCACGTTTCTCTCTTTTTTTTTTTCTTTTCTCCCTGTTTCCCTTGCTCTCTCTAGTCTCCACAACTATGAAGTTATTCTCTTCCTCTTCTCTTTTGTTACTTATTAGTTATTACTCTTTGCTTTCTCTTATTTCTCTCTCTAGTGACGTCAGTTTCTCCTATTTTCTCTTTCTTTCCTTCTCTCTCATTTTTTCTTATTTTCTCTTTCTTTCATTCATTCGTTCTCCTTATTTCCCCGACACTCTCTAGTCTCCACCATCTCTGATTTCTTTCCTTCTTTTTTCTCCTTGTTCTCCTGCACTCTCCATCAAATCTGATGCCGATTGCCTAAAATGGTTTGGTTTAGTTTGATTTTAGTCGCGTTTTTAGGGATTTTAACACCGGAGTGTTCTTTGTCATTTTTGCAAACTTTTTATTTTAAAATTTTTAGTTTAATCCCTTATACTTAATAAAACTCCTAAAACGCCCCTAATAATTCAATTCTGACTCGACTCGCAAGCCTAACGAGCCAAGTCGAGGCAGGCTCGAACTCGACTTGTGCTCTCTCATGAATCAAGCCAAGCTAGCTAGATTTCAGATGAGACGAGCCGTTAACGAGCTGTACTCGAGCCGAATTGAGTCGGCTTGCCCTGTTGAACAGCCCTACGGCAACTTATGACTAACTTAAGTTGGTCAAGGACTCATGAGTTTGTCAAAGAAATATCGTCCTAGAAAGTGTTTGGAATGATTTTTTTTTTTTTTTTTTTTAACATTTTGCAATAAATTTTGTAACTGTTTACGAAACATTGATGAGAGCTGTCATAAGTAGTTACAAAAGTTAACTTTTTCTGACAAAATATATTTATGCTAATATGATTAAATAATGCATGGGTACAAGTAATCTAAATCATAGGATGTGAAAGGCGTGTGACGAAGTTGATAAATCTTTTACATCTTAGTTGACGTTATTATTATTATTATTATTTTTTAATTAAATGTATTTATATATAAATTTTATAAGTTTTAAAAAATTTTATATTGTCAAATTTATGAAAATTAAAACAAAATACATAACTTATAAAGGCTTGTCGAAACTGGAATTATGCAAAATTAAAAAGGGTATTATTAACAAAAAGAAAATTATTATTGATTAAGATATTTTAATATTAAGATGAAAGCCAAATATATTAGCTTTTTACTTTATCTAATAATCAGATATATAAAAAAAAAAAAAATTTAAAATATCTTAATCTATTAAAATTAGTTACATTAAGTCTTAAAGATAAATAAACAAATATGCCCTTAGTCTTAAGACAAGACAACTTAATCGTTAATTAACTTCCAAGTGATTATTGAAATATATCTGTTCAATAGTAACTCTCCATAGTCTATAAATAAGACATGAACAGACTTTAGAATCTCGTTCAATTTCTCTCATAGTTACGAAATAATATTAGTGAATTTTGTAATGATTTTATAACACACACACACAAATATATAATGCATTAATATAATCAAGATTTTGTTTATTACTTATCTTTTAATATAGATTTTAAATATAGATTTGGGTAATATTATACGCACAACCATATCTAACAAACTTTCTCTTTAATGTGACAATTCATAATTAGTCTGTTCGTAAATACGTTATGTTTGTTCACTATGGGTTCTATATATCTATTTGTGAACTACCGCATCGCAATTATGAGCGAAAATTTGTAAGATTTAATTGTGACCTAATCTTTATCCTAAACGATTTTTGTCACAAAAAACGTTTATTTTCTAAATTATGGTTTATTCATGATCTTTGATCTATAATAATATCAATGGATTAAAAATTACTTAATTGATATTAAAAATAACTAATTCTAACTTTTACATTGAATAAAAAAAACATGGATTTGAATAAAAAATTTTATATTACAATATTCTCACCCTTTATTTTATCCATACATGTAATAGGACCCATTTAATTCATGACCGCTTAAACTTCCGTAAATTAATCAGGGTAGGCAATTCTTGTACCCCGGCTCCCACCATTTCTCATGAACGACGTCTAAAGCATATGATGAAGTAGTGGCGGGAATCAGCCACTAGAAGAAAACAAAATAATTTACCAATTCAACCGCCCCTCCATTTGCCACGTGTTCCCACAACGGCCGGATACTTTGTTTCTTCCACTCTCAAACCAACAGCAAGTTCTCTTCACAAAACAACAAAAATATTCAACTCAAATTCAATCTATTACTCCCACTATTACTTCACTCCACTAATTCTCATTTACAAACTCACACGCACACCTACCCTCTCTTCAATCCATCTCCTCCGGTTCCAAAGCCTGCGGTTCCGCCAATGGACGCGGCACCTCAGCTCGTCTACTGCGGAGTCGAGACCGGCCGATTTTCGGCGCGCGGTAACCGATCCTTTAGTAACAGAATTCCGGTTCGGAGGCGGACGAGACCTGTTCTGGCCGTCGCGACTGAACCGAAACCTACACAAAACGGACCGGCGAAGTCCTCGCAGCCGCCAACGTCCAGAACTGTCAATGGAAATTCAAGATCGCCTCCGTTAAAAACGGTTAATGGAAAAACTGTCAACGGAGCTTCCATGGTAAATTGAGCTAGTCATTGTTTTAGAATTTAGAATTTTGTTACTGAACTATTTTAATTTTTCTTGATTTGTTTGTACTGTTGAGTTTTGGAGAACTTGTTAATCGTGTGTTGAACTATTTTAATTTTTCTTGATTTGTTTGTACTGTTGAGTTTTGGAGAACTTGTTAATCGTGTGTTGAATTAATTCAACTCTTTGCTTGGTTTTTTGTAAAATGAAAATATTAACTTGAATTACATGGTTAAATTATTGTATTGATTTTTTTATTATCGTTATTAATTTTGGACTTTTCTTTTCTTTTCCTTTTTTTTTTTTTTTTTTTTAATGGTAGAGGATGGGGGAGGTTTCGCAGGAAATCAAGAGAGTGAGGGCACAAATGGAAGAAAATGAAGAGTTGGCAATACTAATGAAAGGACTTCGGGGTCAAAATCTGAGTGATTCTCAGTTTGCTGATGACAATATTCAGCTTCGCCTTGTTGAGGTAATATAATTTAGTTACTGGAAATCAGCACATTTAATGGGTTGAGATGAGTAAGTAATGAGGTTCTTTTTGGTTATAGTGTTGGACATTCCATCTCCGTGGTTTCATACTTGAGTGGAAATGATGAAAACGTGGTGGAAAAATGTTTAGCATCTTGAAGTGCTCGAAGATGAAGCTTTCTTTATAATTAGGATGTTACTTTCAGGATAATAGTGTGGACATATTGAAAAATTTAAAATTCGCTTTAGCAGGGGGTTACGAAGTGAGTTTATATCTACGAATTACAGCATTCATCTGATTCTCTGAAATCTGGGTGAAATATGTTCACTAGTGTAATATTAATACTTTGGAAACAACTAGAGAAGAAGAGTTTATTAATAATAGTAGAGTCTTGGTGCAAATATAACCATATAGGAGTGCTATCAGTTGCATTAGCCATAACTGATTTACCCTTTTACTTGTTAAGCTGTTTCAGGATTTCATATGCCTGTTCAGGATGGTCAGCCATTTTTTTTTTTTAAGGATTTCATATGCCTTTTCTTGTTTTGAAGCCTTTCCTGTTTACCTTTTTAGTTGTTATGCTGTTTCAACACTAAACTGTTGATATTATGTGCTGTTATTTGCTTCTGTAGGTAAATGAAAGCAGTGAGTTTTTGCCATTGGTGTATGATCCTGCTAGCATCTCTGCTTATTGGGGGAAACGACCACGTGCTGTTGCAACACGAGTTGTCCAGTTATTATCTGTAGCTGGGGGTTTTCTCTCACGTATTGCCATGGATATTGTGAACAAGAAAGTCAAAGAGGTGACCTTGATGCCCTGTGATCAATGATCATTGAATTGTTTGCTATAGCCATTTGCATGTGATCAATGATCATTGAACTGTTCAGGAAACTTTTTGTTCTTCTTTAATCAAATAAATGTTACTGCCATATTAACATTTGAGACAAGTAATTTAAATTTTTTATTAGTTCTCTCTTTCTCTCTCTCAAAATTACTATTTTTAAATTCTTTCCCCTCTAACTTCATTAGAAAATCCACTCTTAGAATTTCTACTTACTCTCATACATTTTTCTAGGGTGTTGTCATCTACAGAACCGCATGAATATTATTTTGAGGTTGCGAAGCATTTCATTTGTTCTCTTCTTCGAAATTCAGAAATCTTGCTTGAAGGAATTATATATAATATTGCTGTGGAAGCCAGCTTTTATGGTTTGAAATTGCTATAACTGTCTGTGGAAGCAGCATAATATATGCTCTAAAGCTCCTGCATGCACAGTTCTCCATGTATGGAGTATGTAACTGTTGCAAATTTTGAGTTAGGCTTTCCTAGAAACATGCATATATTAGTTTAAAAATGTTTCTGGTTGATGTTCAAGTGTTAAAGTGAACCTATTTATTTTCTGGCTGATTCATTTCTTTATTTATCTTTCAATCAGAATGAAGTTGCTAGAGCTATTGAATTAAGGGATATTGTTACTTCGTTGGGTCCAGCATATATAAAACTTGGGCAAGCACTTAGTATTCGACCAGATATATTGTCACCTGTTGCGATGTCTGAGCTGCAAAAGCTGTGTGACAAGGTAGAGTACTTGACATTTCTTCTTTTTCTTCCTTTTTCATTTTCAGTGCAGCTTAAGATGGATGCATGGAATGTTTTATCAATAAATTTTTACTCTTGCTCTTACATTTGCGTATGGGGCTAGAGGAGGGAAAATAGGAAATATTGCAAACACCACTGCAATGATTTTAACAACAATAAACGTCTCTATCTCTTTTTTTTTTTTTTTTTTTTCTGGGAAAATTCTTCTAGACTTAATGTTAACTTTAATAGTTAATTTGTAGTGCCTTGATATTTATGCAAAGAATGTCTTTCTGCACCATCAAAGTCTTTTGAGGATCTTACCCCATTATGATTCATGGGTTGTTAAATCATTCTGCACTATCTTGATCTCTGAGCACTTGTTGAGATCTATAAACATAATAACATCTTAACAAAAAGCGTTACAGACAATTCTTGAAAAGAAAAAAAAAAGTATAGAAGTGTTTATCATTACTATTGCATGTGAATTTCGCCTTCATCTTGGCACTATATTTAGTTTAGGTCACTGATGGCTGATATATCTGTTTGATTGTACATGAAGGTTCCTTCATTTCCAGATGATGTAGCAATGGCTCTTATTGAGGAGGAGCTTGGTCAGCCTTGGCATGAAATCTATTCTGAACTTTCTTCTTCCCCTATTGCTGCTGGTAGGCTAGATTGTGGTCATGTGCATATATTATTAGATTTTGATTTCTTTTAAGAAAAAATAAATAAACTCATATGATTAGATTTTGATTTCTGTGAAGAAAAAATAATAAAATTGGCTTTGTTTACTAGTTTCAGTATTTCAGTGGTCCAAAATTTATTCACTCTTTTCTGGATATGATGGCAGCGTCTCTAGGACAGGTATATAAGGGCCGGCTAAAGGAAAATGGGGATTTGGTGGCTGTCAAAGTGCAGAGGCCTTTTGTCCTTGAGACGGTGACAGTTGATTTGTTCATCATACGAAACCTGGGTTTGGTTCTACGGAAGTTTCCTCAGGTGTTTTTATAGATAATAGACTAATTGTTCTTATTTATAAAAAGAAAATGAAAAAGTATACTAATAGCCACAATAATTTTTACAAGGGGTATTCGTTTCTTTTGGAAGGGGCACTCTTATTTTATAGTGTCACTAATGATATGTACCTTTTATTTCCTCTCCTCCTTTCCCCCTTTTTCTTCTTTTCAGATCTCCTTTGATGTGGTTGGACTGGTTGATGAATGGGCTGCTCGTTTTTTTGAGGAGCTAGATTATATCAATGAGGGTGAAAATGGAACAAAATTTGCAGAAATGATGAGGAAAGATCTTCCCCAGGTGAGTTTGGTGACTTTTAAGATGGTTGCTTTATCATGTCTGGGAGGCTTATGTTGTTTTTCACTCCCAGTCTTGTTTTAGTCCTTGTTGATATAAATTAATCGTGCAGTTAGATTCTGGAAGATTCTGTTTCCTATAAAAATAAAATAAAATTCTGGAAGATTCTATTCATAGTAAAGTTACCACCAAACTAACTGTCAAAAACATGTGCAACTACAAATGTGTTACTTACCAGGCCCTTACTCTTTTGGCATCTTTGATATTGTACTACATTATTATAGTTCCCCAGCCTTTTCAACATTGGAATTAAATTATCATTTGTTGTTTGATGATAGCGGATGCTTTTTTACTACTTTGTTATACTTCCCCAGCCTTTTCAATTGGATTTAAATAATCATTTGTTGTTTGACGATAGTGGATGATGCAATTTGTGTATGATGTTGTTGTGTTAGCATAGATTAATTGTGAAATCAAAGATATATTGAATGGATCTTTGTTGATCTTAATTGATATTGTGTCTGTGAGAGATGTCCTGTTATCCTCCCTTAATCTCTCTATTCCAGGTGGTTGTACCTAAGACCTATGAAAAGTATACTGCAAGAAAAGTTCTTACCACTAGCTGGGTGGAAGGAGAAAAGTTGTCACAAAGTAAAGAAAGTGATGTTGGAGAACTGGTTAATGTTGGTGTCATATGCTACCTTAAGCAGGTACCTCCTTATCTACACTTTGTGCTAACTTACTACTTTGGTGGTACATTGGAAATATATCCTGTTCTGCCTATGTACTAGAAAAAAAAAATTATTTCTTTTATGTTACTCATGCTTCATGCTGAGCATGACTTCCTTGTAGTTTTCACTCATTTTTTTCCTTATTTCTCCCTTACACACATGGTGATGCTTATGCTTACTTTTGTTCTGAATTGTGACTGTTAAATGGTTGTTCAATCTGGAAATAATCACTTCAGAAAACACACAGAGGAGGTGAGTAGTATAACTCATCAAAGTATTGCAGTAATCACTGTATCATATGGATGACTTAGAGTTACAAGCTTATTATGTGGTTAACATATTATATTTAGTGCTTCTAAGTGCAACTAACTTATTCTATCCAGTACCTGGATGCTAGGCTACACTGAGCTTCCTTATGTTTTATGTAATTTTTTACTCTACCATGGACAAACACCTGATGACATTCTTTAATTTTTCTGTTTAAATTACAGTTACTTGATACTGGATTTTTCCATGCTGATCCGCATCCTGGAAATTTGATCCGTACTCCAGATGGGAAGCTAGCCATACTTGACTTTGGTAACAATCTACTCCATAATTGTATTGGGTGAAGATCATCCACTTATCTGTATCTGTTTGTCCATTCTGAATCTATTAGATTACATATATTAAACATTAGGAAGACGCCTGTCACCTTTCTCCCATTTAAACTAGACGGTTTTCTTCTTCTTCTTCTTCTTCTTCTTCATCTTCTTGCTTTTTTTTTTTTTTTTTTTTTGGTTCTTTGATTCCTGTTTCCTATATTTTATAAGCAGCAAAGCATCTAGTAATTGTACTAGTGTTGCAGCTATGAACAGATAGAGATTATTTATTCTATTTTTTGACTGGTTCGGCTCATTTCTATGAATAAAATGCTTTGTATTGAGATCATATAGAAAGAAATTTTCTAACACAAAAACATTAGGCCTGGGTGTACAATTTTTTTATTTTTTTTAATTTTTAATGTCAGAGCTGTGGTTGATTTTGAATAAGGGAACCCAATCTTTGTTATTTCTGTCCTTTATCCTTTCTCTTTCTGCATTTTCTCTTTTCTTTGTTTCTTTTCTCTCTCTGTTTTTCTAATTTCTGCTGTTTCCTTTTTCCATATCTTGTTCTCTCTCATTATCTTTTTTTTCTTGTCCAAAAACACCTGGAATTTAGTCTGGTTTCATGAATGCTTTGAATTCAGAATTTGGTGTGTATCTGACCAATAAGAGAAGCATGTCCTCTCGGAATACTGACGTTGTCGCATGATCAACTTGATGCAACAATAAGAAAAAAATTAGTGTGTTTGAGGATCATTATTTATTATGGATGTTGCTTTCCAATGAGCAACTGTGAGTAGGTTTCCTTAATGAATGATTTTATTTTAGGTATCTTTTTAGAGCAATTACCTTGAAATATGCTAGTCTATGTATTTGCATTTCCCCTACAAGCCAAAGCTCTCCATTGGCCCCATGATACTGCATTGGTTTGCATCTAAGGCTATGAAAAATCGAACAATTTCATTTTCTTTACCTGTCATTAAGAACCATTGAACTAGATTCTGAAGTACACTTTTGGTATTACAGGTCTAGTCACAAAACTGACTGATGATCAGAAGTATGGAATGATTGAAGCAATTGCCCACCTTATTCATCGGGATTATGGAGCTATAGTCAAAGATTTTGTCAAACTTGATTTCATCCCGGAGGGAGTTAATTTGGAACCCATCTTGCCCGTCCTGGCTAAGGTTTTTGATCAGGCACTTGAAGGTGGAGGAGCCAAAAATATTAATTTTCAGGAGCTGGCATCGGATTTGGCACAAATAACATTTGATTATCCCTTTAGGATACCACCTTATTTTGCTCTCATAATTAGGGCAATAGGAGTACTGGAAGGTATTGCTTTGGTGGGGAATCCTGAATTTGCCATTGTAGATGAAGCATATCCATATATTGCCCAGGTACGAATATTTAGTGGTTCTGTATGAAGATTTGTAGGCATTTTTTAAATCTTAATAAACATAAGACATGCATATGGTTCATTAAATAGCCCTTCTGCATTTTGATAGGGCAATGATTTCTTGTACCTCAATTTTAATGGTTTAATGCAAGACAGTTGTTGAAATGGTGTACAAGTTAATATGAACAAAACCCCAATTGAGAATTGAACAGAAAATTTACTTCTGACATTTTTAGAAAGAATTGAATCTGAGATACTGTTTACGGAGCTCTAAATCATTGAATCATTGCAACTTTAAGATAAATCAACTGATATCATTTTTATTGAAAAATTTGTTGCAATTTCTATGATAAATATAATTTATTTTAGGGTTCATTTCAAATTTTCTCTTTTGGAGGCCTTAGACCAGGTTGTCAGTGTTCTGAGAAATTTAGGAACTTAGTGGCTGATTAGTCTAAAAGTGTAATTTTTATATGCCATTAAGATTGGATAATGGGCTGCATGAGTTTGTGAAAACTAATGAATGGTTTAACACATTTGTAGACCAGTTTTCGTTGTTAGGTAATATTCTATTACAACAGTTCTGGTTGGCTATTCAGTGTATTCACTATTTTGCTGTTCAGATTATCTTAATTTATAATGATGCTTTCTCTTTATGACCTCTACACATGGTATAAACTGAGGTTTGTTTTGTTTTTTTTTTTTTTTTTTTAATTTCCTTCTACTGTTAGAGGCTCCTCACTGATGAATCCCCTCGGCTGCGTAATGCCTTACGTTACACTATATATGGGAAGTCAGGTGTTTTTGATGCTGAAAGATTCATTGATGTCATGCAAGCATTCGAGAATTTCATCACTGCAGCCAAAAGTGGAGGTGGAGAGGGTTTAAATGGGGATATGGCTGAACTTGGCCTTTTGCAAAGTCAAACAAGTTACTTTGTTCCCGCATTTTCATCAAGTGCATCTCAACAAACACAGCCAGTTCAAACAAGGGCAGCTTTAGCTTTTCTGCTGTCTGGCAAAGGGAATTTTTTCCGAGAATTTCTTCTGGATGAGGTAATTCTAGATCCAACTTACAGGATGAGGAGACTGTTTTGTCATTGAATGTATGACATTTACTTCAGCATCTTTCTATTCTATTTTGATTAGGATTTAGTTTTTAAGCCTGTAAATAAAGGCCTCTTTCATTATTGTTATTTTGCTTGATTAAATGATTATAGAATAAACTCTTGATTCTCTCCCTCTAAATTTTCCTTTCTTAATCTCTTTTTCTCCTTCTCTTTCCTGTGTCTTTCTTTTCCTTTTCTATCTCTTCTTTCTTGTCTTTTCTACTTCTTCTTTCTTCTCCTACATCAGGTTCACAATTTGAGTAACATTTGTATTCACATTGGTATTCTCTAAGCCTGATTATTTTTGGGTATCTAATTGTTGCTTTTGGCATGCAAAGCAGATTGTAAAAGGCATTGATGCAGTTACAAGAGAACAGCTAGTACAAATAATGGCTGTCCTGGGAATTGGAAATGCCACCCCAGTTTTTAGCATGGTTCCTGCTTTTGGACCATTTAAGCCAGCGGCGCTTTTACCCACAATAACCGAGGAGGACAAAATTATATTGAATAATGTCCAAAAAATTGTTCAGTTCTTAACTGCAGGAAGCTCAATATCAAGGACTTCAAATCAGGTAACCAAAATTTTGCACTTAGACTATTACTGGGCTCCTCTGTGAAGTAGGAGCCTTTAGTCTTTCAAACAATGTTGTTATTGCTGTTTTCAGCTCAGTGTGCATGTATGATTTTCCTTTCTTGAATTGGGTTTGGTGTTAAGAGTCATGCATGACAATGCAAGCTACACTCTTTGTGAAAATGTTTTCAGGTAGTTTTTTTTTTTTTTCTTTTTTGTCCATAACAATTGTGGTCAAATTAAGAAGGAAGTTTTCATTATGTGTATACATTACATAAATTAGCAACTGTAAAGTTCTTTAACTAGAAACTTTTGCTGAACCATTTCGTGGATCTGCTCTAAGTTGGCAGAATTCTCAAGTGAGCCTGAACTTATGAATCGACATATTTAGTTAGCTCCATACATGGCTCTATGGGCTGTGAGGGAAACATGCAATGAATATTTTCTGAAAAGCTTTTCTGTGAGTTTGAGAAAATAATTTCCTCTTTGTTGGGTCTCGCCCTCTTTCTATAATATTTTTTCATATATTATTCTTAATTTCCCTTGAAAATGGTTCTGAGGGGAAGCTACAAGTAGGGTGTCTGGTATAAATTTTGGTTCATAGCTGCCTGATTTCGTCTCGGTAATTTGGGGGTTGCTTCTGTGTAATTGAAGTTGTTTGTGTTTATAAAAATTTGCCCCTTTTTGTATTCTATATACATGTTACTTCTAAGATTTTCTGTAACTCAAAAATAGCTGTTGGATCAGTTTGTACATTTAATGACTTGCCGATGTAAAGTTAGCTCATAGTTTCCCTTTCTGAAAGATGGAACATGATTTCTTATATTTTCTTTCTCTTGTTTGTGGGCTTCAACAGGGTATAGATGTCGCTAGGGTTATCCAAGAGCTGCTTCCAGTGTTGCCAAGCATCTCAGCCACAATCCTCCCTGAAATCATCAGTCGACTGTCTTCCCGGGTGTTAGCACGCATAGTTCGAGATTCGTTTTTGTAAGCAAGTTTATACTACAGCCTAACTGCTTCAAGTGGGTACACTCCAATTGTTTATACAGAATCCTTGTATGAGCACCACATCATTAATCTAACATGTCTTATTACATACTACTCAATGAGACACCAGATATCAACCCAAATCTATCTGGATTAAGATACTGTAAACTTTATCATTGAATGTAAATGTAAAATGAGGCTGGATGTTCTCTTTGATAAAAAAAAAAAAAACAAAAAATTTAATGAAAGTGATGCAAATGATCCCTTTAATATTCTCTTTCTACAGCTTCTCTCTTGGTTCATATTTCTATTAAAAAGCCTACGTAAGTTCATGTACCAAGGATGGAGCATTTGCTGTTTATGCAGAAATGAGCAAGAGATGCTGTTGCCTTTTAGGACAGGAGATTATGATCAATCTCAACTTCTTTTTTTTTTTTTTTAAATGAAGAAACATTATTTTTTTTTATTTAGTTATTGTTTGAAAAAAAGAGAGAAATCATGATATCTGGAAAATTTATTAAAAAAGTGAGGGAAAAATTGTAACACATTAGGGGAGGGGGCAAAGAAATCTCTATTTATAAAGTTAATAATATATTAAAAGAATGCAAAAACGAAATCCATAAATCGAATCATATTAATTATTAGAGAAAAATCTTAAATTAAATAAATAGGTAAACAGTGACCAAGCCAGGATTTAGTTTGTTAATGTCAACACAAAATCTAGGAAAATTTTCTTTGTGGCTCTGTTCCTGTCGGTGAATGGGAAGATCTGAACAGTGAGGAAAATACTAAACCTCATAAGGTGGTGATCAAGTTAAAAGAATATTAGATAAATCAATAATTGGGAATACCTCAACATTGACAAAGGACAATTCTCAATCTCATAAGATTAATCGTATGTTGTCTTGTGCAGAAGACAGCTCCCAGCATCTTGGAACAATTTTTTTTAAAGCTTTTCGGGGTGTGCCATTGATTATCATTGTCTTAGATCTGACAGCTTATCTTTCTCAAGACAAAACTGTACCAAATGAAATTTGTCTAAACAACTTTAACATTAAACACCGGCCATAAATCACATCCACTAAAAAGAGGTCTTATTTATTGGTATTATGCACAACATCAAGTCATTTAAACGTTCTTTATTTTATTTTTTTTGGTGTCAAAATTATTGTTCAGATAACAAGGTACTTTAGGAAACGCGTCAAGGCAGGGGAAGTCTCTGTTCTCCAGAGGCGTATGAAATAATATTCCTTTTAAGAAATGGAATATACTGAGCCCCATGAAATGCAGCAGCTCGCAGAATATTAAGAGGCCCAAGGTCAACAGAGTATGCCTTCTGAAATCCATCCAGAACAGCCATCATCATTACATTTGCTGGTTTCCTTTCAGCTTCATATTTTTTCAGTAGTGATACCTGCATACATTTCACCAATTCAACAAATAAATCTATTGGATTTTCTTAAAGAGTTGATACTTACAACCTTTATAAGAAAAAAATAAAATAAAATAAAATAACCATTAGATGAGATGACATACCTCCCCGATGTCTGTGCCTACGGCAATACCCTCAGCGACGATTCTAGAAAGAGCAAGTGAATCTCCAAAACCCAAATTAACTCCTTGACCAGCCAAGGGATGAACAGTATGCGCTGCATCGCCAATTAGAACCACATGCTTTGATGCGTACTCATTGGCATGCTTTAAAGACAGTGGAAACACCATTCTTTCGGATGCTAACTTGACCACTTTTGGTGGCACTTCAAAGGATTCATTAGCGGATATAGTTACATCTCTTCCGAGCCAAGAAAACATACCTGTAGCACCCCATGAGCTTGACTTAGGATGAGGACCGTAGCCATAATCAAGAGCATGATTTAATGTTTGCACAAACTCATCCTCGTTCATTGATTTACAGTCTTTCGAATTTTCTGGGTTCATGGTCCAGACAATATTGCTAAATTTATCACCCATTGGTAGAAGTGCAATTGGACCAGCAGGTAGAAACCGTTGCCATGCACAATGGTTTTCTTTAGTATGTTCTACTGTACAGATGACAGCATTTTGTGAGTAATTCCATCCAGTAGTGTTGAATCCAGTTAATTCTCTAACTCGTGACTTGCCCCCATCAGCTCCAACCTACAATGTGTGGCATGTAGCCTTTCATGAGCTAATCTCACAGGTGAAAAATGCTATCTGGAATATCTTAACTATGATAGTGAATTAGAGAATCTGATCATTATTTTAAGAATGAACGCAATTTCATCAGCATCCAAGTACAATTACCACCAACTTCGCATAGAGGTTGTTGCCATCACTAAGTTCCAACTTTGCTAAATGCCGTTTAGTGAACAATGCTGTTGCTGATGTGTTGTCCACACCCGTGGAGGAAGAGCTTGGTTGCAAAGTCATTGAAGTTAACTTTGAAGGGTAAATGGTTTTCCGGAAGTCAGAATTCTGTTAAGTTTGATATCAAAGAGATTGAGTTAGTTCCAAAAATTACAAAATGGAATATAATTATGATAACTATGCATCAAATTAGCAAGCATTTTGCGTTCCTTATCGAGTTTCAATGAGAAAATATCAGTCTGGCTAAAATCTAATCTTGCTAGAAAGAATCTATCTATTAATTATGCATCACAGAAATGGCATATATCATACTGAAACCAATGCATTCACAAGGCTAATGTTTTTATGATGCTATTTCTCTCTCCTTTTTTTTTTTTTTTTTTTTTTTTGTAGTTCCCAGAAAAAGCTGGCTTTTTTATGTGTTCATCGAATTCTAAGCTAGAGGCTATTTCTGGACTCCACAAGATTGGTAGCTAGGAAACTTGTGGGACATAATATCCCACATAGGTGGCCTAAAGCGGATTTGAATCTTTGACTTTTTGGGATAGTGTTTTGATGCTATTCTCCACACAGGTTTGAAAAAATAAATCTGAAAGCATAATTGTAAAACTATATGACTCCTTGTTGGCATACAACTAAACATGTAACAATGAAAAGATTTGGTTTTACGATGTCTTAGAGGCAGGAAAGAGCGCTGATAAGAACTTCATATAATGTCCCAAATATTCCAAGACTTTCTTAAGTAATGATGCTGATGCTGTACAGGGAAACTTAGTCCGTTGAACTTTTGTATTTTATAAGACTCAAAAAAATTTATTAAAAAAAAAGTGAACCAGCAGTCCATGAATTACAAAAAATAAAACGATAATTTCTCAACAAACATACTTGGACAAGACAAAAATTCTGAAATTTAAGACACTTTTCAATAAAGAAAGGAATCATATTATAAGTTCAAGATCTTGAGCCAGGCCCAGCCGTAAGGCTTGTACTGAACACTTCACTTATGAAGTTTATGGACTTATTAGTTGCATTTTGATAATTGCAAAAGCTACATGATCTGTTCCCAAAGTAAGTGGTTTGCTAAAGCAATACCTGTAAACATGACAACAATGAGCTATGAAGCACCTTATTCTCCACCACGCACCTGAATCACCAATCCAATATAACCACTGCAATCAGTAACAAAGGGTTAGATGAATGATATGACTCTTCAATCAGTTTGTGCTTACCCTAGAACTTCTTTGTTTACATCTCTTGCATTGTATCTTGTGTACCCTAAGCCAGTATAATCCCAAACCTACAGAATGTCATGAAAAACTGATGAAAATATACATCCCAGAGCACTGTATTACATATTGCATATTTGAGAATAAAATAAAATAAAAAACATATAGAACTATCGAATCAGTGGGTATGGTGATAAATTGCATTCTTTTAAATCAGTCTTGTAACTATAACCATATACATGTCTAGAACCAACTACATGATGCTCTAACATTCTCCTAGGCTTTCATTCTTTGTTTTTAATTCAAATCTATCAGCAGCAGTCACTTGACTCACTTACAATGCATAACTTTCACAGTCAGTTAAATATTCTCTGACCCTAATATGTTTCATAGGTATGGTACACAAGTTACAGATTTATAAATAGACCAAATTTAATGCACATATAAGTAAGGAAAAGACTGTTCATTTTCTTTACAGCACAATAAGTCCATGACTCTGCACATTTTAGCAATTTTGAATAGTATTTAAAATCAAAAGAAAGATAAAAACCAAAAGAAAAAAAAAATATAAGGAAAAAACAATAGTAGCAGAGTAAAAAGACTAAACAAAACAACCATCACCTGCATCCTATCAAAATATGCATGTCGATGCTGTTCAATGTATTGCCAAGCACCAATATCTGGAAAGAAAGCAAAATAGAAGAGAAACCAAACATGTCAAACATCTGTTTCCTTGTCACTTTAAGTAGAAAAGCTATTTCAATTTTGATGTTTCCAATAATAATAGACAAATAGGCCATAGAAACAATAAAAGTGCAGGTCCACCTTGTTAAACAAACACTATAATCAATCAGGCAAAAGGTGGAAATGAATTTCGAGTAGATTTTTTTAACCTAATATATGAAGCAAAAATATTTGATTGATCTAGATAAGAAGGTTATAAAGAACGGTGAACCACACTCCAATGAGTGAAACTTACAAGATTTACCCTCTCACGCAGACAAAGAAACTAAAAGGAACATACACAACAAAACAGCACTTCATTCTCATGAATAAAGAAAAAAGATGAACCTTGAATATTCAGGGTAATTCAATTAATTTGCTTGAGTTTGTGGAAGTTCAAACCGACACTGATAAACATGCGATCAAAAATCAACCATAATTTGAAACAAAGCTGACGGTAAGAGCACTAACACAAATACACAACATTTGATTGGAATCAGATGTAGTAAATATAAAAGGTCATATCAAAAGCAATCTACCATATTTCTATTTTAAACAATCTGCTAATGTGGTGACAACAGCATTTATATAGCTAATTTTTGTCAGCAACTACTACTGATTTTATCTTGTTGTCTAACAAATATTCCAAGCAACCAACTTGTGCTGTGGCTTAAAGGTATGCAGACAACAGAAAGCAACAAGATTAGAGAAGAAGTATATTCTTTAAGATAGAACCTTGTTTATATAAATTTGGTAACATCAATAATTCCCTTCAACACTCATATCCTTTTCTTTATGGCTTTAAGGTATGCAGACAACAGAAAGCAACACAATTAGTGAAGAAGTATATTCTGTAAGATAGAACCTTATTTTTATAAATTTATTAACATCAATAATTCCCTTGAACACTCATATATTTTTTACATATGCACACGATACTCATAGCATAATTCAGGCTCTCAGTAACATCAAGTAAAAATGTCAAGCATTCAACTCTACATAATCAAAAATAATTAAAGCAAGCCATATCTGTCATTCTATTCTTCAATGAAAGATAATAGTTGAACCATTTGCTATAAGGGCTCCCATATATGCAATCAAGGTCAAGTAGTCACCTGAGGCAATCAGACAACAAAAGATATACATGTCTATTTTGACATCCCCAAGCCATAAGATGGAATAAAGAGATAAATCATGTCCTGAAACATTCTTTTTGATATCCATTACTGATATAAAAATATTGGCAGAAAAACATTATTCAATGTCATCTACTTGGCTTTAGGACAAACTAAAATTATCAATAATTTATCTTGCTTTTTCGTGTTTACTATTATCAATAATTCTGTAAATTCACATCCATTACTGATATCAAAATAATGGCAGAATAACATCCTTAAATGCAGCAAATCAATGTATGATGAATGACTGTAAAGCTTAATGTAGTCATTTTAGTGAATCTTATGAACATTCAAACCTCATTGCTCAGATAAAACTTACATAGAGACGTACAATATTTTTAACCAAACTCTCCTAAATAAGCAGAGACAAATATGAAGCTTGAACTCTCTGTAACTATTGTTGATATGAGAATATGAAAATTTAAAAATTTGAAGATGGCACAGGAGAGAGGAAAAATAAATATATCAGACTTAATACCTTTGAAAAATGATATAGTTGCAGGTGTGACTGTACTGACCCTTGGATCAGGAGGGTCCTCTTTCTTTATGCAGTCTCTTTTCACCAAAGCAGGATTGCTATCAATGATGGCAACATTCAAATTTTTTGTCAATGGTGTGGTTGCTGCAACATCCAATAAAATAAAATGATGTGAATTTTAATGCTCTATCAACAAAAATGTGCTATAATGACATTACTGAGGTAATAATGATAGCAATACTGGTGAGATCAAGAGTAACATAGATGATATAGAGGGGGTTTAGTGATCACAGTAACTCTGGTCAAGTTACTGTCATACTGCCTTCTTATATTCATATTTTTGCTAGAACCTCCTCTTTTTTTTTTTTTGGGTAATTTAGAAGCTCCTGTTTTAATACGCTGAGAAATAAGCCCAAACATTGATAAAGCAAACCAGGAGCAAACAGTTAGAATTACAACGACCTTCTGAGTAGAAGGCCAAAATTGAATGCATCAGGGAGAAAAAAAAAAGGAAATAAAGAGAAGAAAACAACTAATAACACACAAAATATTACCTACCTAGAGAACAAGCCAAGGCCATGCCAACCACGCCACCTCCAACAATAGCAACATCATATTGATGATCATTATTTGTAAAACTCTGCTTCACCTCACCCTGCCAGAATGAAAGGAAAAAAAAAAGTACAATATTATGCTTGAATAACCATAACTAAAATTACTTTGAATGAAATTATTTTTCAATAAGAAGAATCTTCGCATGAACTCAAAATCATCAGAGGAAAATAAATCTGGCACAGAGTGACAAGTTACTCTTACAAGCTACCTATAGGCAAGCAGCCAAGCACATCTCAGTCATTCCAGATCCATGAGTACTCCAGCATTTAATACAAACAACAATACCTCATTCTTTAGGAGCATTTTATTTCTATAACTTGTCGTTTGTTCTAGAAAAAGGCGATCCGCTTCTCACATTTCCTTTTTTACTCTTAAGGACTGAAATATTCGTCCATTTCCCACTTTCATAGTATTATTTTATATAAACAAGAATATTTAGGTGTCCATATCCTCATTCTTTTTTTTTTTTTTTTAAAATCTTGAATGACAAATTTCTTTGCAACGAATTGCTAAAATACAAACACTTGTTAAACATCCATTAAGATGAATGTCAACTCTCTAATTAAAGAGTTAGAAATACTTTTTCCATTTGGCAATTCTTTACATAGAGTTGTATATATATAGGTGTGGACCTATATCCGGACTCAAAATCCAGACCTCAATCACTAATCTACTGAGCAATAATGTGTGCATCAGACTCACTTATTCATCTAATTTCAGAATATTGTGTAATAAAATCATGTCCATGATAAAGGCTCCATCCATCTCACTATACCAAACTAAACAAAAACTTTGAAAACAGATTATAATCATCATTTATAAATAGACATTTAGGATAAAATGAAATCATCAATAAATATTATGGCAAAAAGAAAAACAAAAATTACATTGCTTTTTTGGCCAGAATCAGAAGTAGCTGCTACTTTTGCAGCTTCATCACTACACAAATTCCTCCGCTGAACCCTCAAGCCATACACATTTACACAAAGTCTTCTTGCAACGAACCTTTTAAAGAATCAAAATTAATCATTATATTATACCACAAAATTCGTAATTAACTTAATCATTTCAGCATGGAAAATAAAGATGTAGCCGAAAGTAAGTAAGAAGTAAAATTTTGAAAAAAGAAAAATGAAATTTATGAGATTATTCATAAAAATGACTTCTTAAAGAAATAAATAGAGTTTAATAGCAAATTAAAAGTAGAATGAAAGAGTTGAACGGTGAGGTGCGTACCTGTTCATTCTGAAGGACCGTGCATTGTGAAACGAGACAGAAGGGGACTGAAATGAAGAAGAATCTCCGTGAACAGACTGGGCTCTTTTGGTTGCTCCAGGATGGACTTAGCCCAATAGAATTGGGTTGCAAGGATCTGCAAGGCACTTAGTTTGGGTTTGGGGAGTCAAGGTTGAGAAATAAAAGGTCATTTGGTCCATAGATAAGGTAAAGAAAAAATTTGAGGCGCGTTTGATTTATGGAATTTTTTTTTTTTTTTTTTTTTAGTGATCGAGGGTGTTCGGTTCAGTTTACGTATACTTTAACTAATCCCTCGAGACTCTAAAAATACCGACCAGGTAAGAACTCCAATGGCTACCCCTATTAGCAACCGAGGAGAGACTCGAACTCAAGACCTTTTGAGTAATATACCTAAGAGTCACTCGGCTATCCAGAGGTAGTTGATTCAAGGAATGTTGTATTACTGGGAATGTTATATTAATGAGAAGATAGATTACCTTGAAGATTATTGAGAATGTTATATTAAAAATGTATTTGGTTAGATTTAAATAAATTTGTGGGTATGTTATATATATTATTGAAATTGCCCTTCCTTTTTAATATTATAATAAAAAAAATATTATTATTATTATTATTATTATTATTAGAATAAAGATAGGATGATAAACATTTTTCACAACTTTCTCTTACAAACGTTTATGTGATAGTTCACAATTGGTCAACTCGCATTTGATCAGGCGGGACCCATTGCGAGCTGACTAATTACGAGTTAACACATCAGGTTTGTGAGAGAAAGTTAGTGAGAAGGGTTTGTGAGTGCATTATTATTATTTGTTCCCTTTGGTATCGATCATGTGTTCTCTTTGATACCAGACGAAACACAGGATCGATACACACAAAGAAGAGATATGCAGAGATACAAAATAAAACTTAAATAAACATTAACTTAATAATCTTAAAACTTAATAAGATAACGGCGGCAGAGCCTCACTGGAATCATATTAAGAAGTGAGATTAATTTTTAACTAAGTAACGGCGGCAATGCTGCATTGGAACCAGATTAAGTGATGAACAAAATTTAAAAAAACAAAGAACATAAATGAATAAGAAAACTTAAAAGCATATTAAAGAAATTAAAGAACTTAAGTAGTAGATTATAAAGAATAATTAAAACTAAATATGGTATATGATTAAGCATTAAAAGATTAGTTGAAAGACTTAAGAATTTGAACTTACAATGAAGGCTTTCTTTTTTAAGAGCTTTTGAGTGGTTACATATATTGAAAAGAGTGTGGGAAAAGAAACTTAGAGAATTGGTTTACAAAAAGCTTNCCTTTGATTTATGGATTTTTTTTTTTTTTTTTTTTTTAATGATCGGGGGTGTTCAAGTCAGTTTATGCATACCTTAACTAATCCCTCGGGACCCTGGAACTACCGACCGGGTAAGAGCTCAAATGGCTACCCTTATTAGCAACCGAGGAGAGACTCGAACTCAGGACCTCTTGAGTAATACACCCAAGAGTCACTCGGCTACCTAGAGGTAGTTGGTTCAAGGACTGTTGTATTACTGGGAATGTTATATTAATGAGAAGATAGATTACTTTGAAGATTATTAAGAATGTTATATTAAAAATGTATTTGGTTAGATTTGAATAAATTGGTGGTTATGTTATATATATTATTGAAATTGCCCTTTTTTTTTAATATTATAATAAAAATAAAAATAAAAATATTATTATTATTATTATTATTATAAAGATAGGTTGACAAACATTTTTCACAACTTTTTCTTACAAACGTTGACGTAACAGTTCGCAATTGGTCAGCTCGCATTTGATCAGGCGAAACCCATTGCGAGCTGACCAATTACGAGCTGACACATCGCGTTTGTGAGAGAAAGTTAGTGAGAAGGGTTTGTGGGTGTATTATTATTGGCTCCGTTTGGTTCACAATTTTGTGTTTTTGGGAAAAGTTTTTTGAAAAAAGTTAAAAAAAAAAGTTGAATTGGGCGGGTATTACGATGTAGGATTTACAAATTGATAAAATACCCCTTATGTTTGTTTTTTTACAAAACACCCATTATAATAAAACATTAAAAGTTAACAAAAACACCCCCAATCCACCCTCAAATACGGACAGCCGGCCACCACCGCCGGAGGGTGGCCGGAGTCGCCGTAACAAAAACATTAAAAATATTTAGGGGTATTTAATTGAATTAACAAATTTAGGGGATTTAAAAAATGTTGAATAAAGTTGAATAATATTGTAAGTTTTTGGGTATTTTACTGTTTAACTTTTTTGGGAATACTAAAAGTAGTATTCCCAAAATCCAACCAAACGAAGCCATTATTATTATTATTATTATTATTATTATTATTTGTTCCTTGTGGTATCGATCCTGTGTTCTCTCTGATACCAGACGAAACACAAGATCGATACACACAAAGAAGAGATATGTAGAGATATAAAATAAAACTTAAATAAACATTAACTTAATAATCTTAAAACTTAATAAGATAATGGCAACAGAGCCGCACTGGAATCATATTAAGAAGTGAGGTTAATTTTTAATTGGGTAACGACAGCAATGCCGCATTCGAACAAGATTAAGTGATGAACAAAATTTAAAGAAACAAAGAACATAAATGAATAAGAAAACTTAAAAGCATATTAAAGAACTTAAGTAGTAGATTATAAAGAATAATTAAAACTAAATATGGTATATGATTAAGCATTAAAAGATTAGTTGAAAGATTTAAGAATTTGAACTTACAATGAAGGCTTTCTTTTTGAAGAGCTTTTGAGTGGTTATATATATTGAAAAGAGTGTGGGAAAAGAAACTTAGAGAATTGGCTTACAAAAAATTTGGTTTACAATGACCGAGAATACACAATTTATATAAATTTTAGCCTATTGTAACATCACATGGATACTATTGAGGGAATCTTTTTTTTATTAGAGCATCAAATGTCTCTTTTGGCAGGGAATCTTTCACTCTTCTTTTTTATGCCAAAGATTCTCTGATTCGGATGTCAATTGAGAAGTTCTTTGGCCATTCTTCTTGTGAGAGAGAAGGTGATTTTGAACTGTTCAGAGTAAATTAGATGATTCCATAATAGTCATCTTCATTGCTCTGGGCAAGATTGACCGAGGCACTAGAGCTTTGGTTAGATTCTTCTTCTTCTTCTTCTTCATCTTGTAGTTGAGAGAGAATAGTCTTGAGGTGGTCTTTCAGTTCTTATTTTGTTTTCGCTCCTGCTAAGGATACTGATGCCATAATCTTTTTTTGTAAAAATTTGGCAATTTCAGGGGTAATTGCCTGAGCTGGATGTGGTATATTTGAGAGACAAAGTTTGATTTTTTCTTTGGACACATGGGATGCATCACATTTATCCCACCACTTGACTTTAAATTTCCGGATCAAATTAGGGAGATTGCTAATATTTTGGACAATTTCATATTCCCATTGCAAAATCCACGAAAGGTGGAACTTTACTGAGAAATGAAGTGATGGAGGGAAATTTGAATCTGCTTCGAAAACTTTGAATTTTAGCTTGAACTCATTGAATCCTTCTTGGACAGTTGGGGGTAGGATTTCAAGAATTAATCCAAAATGATCCCACCATTGAGCAAACCAATTGGAAAGTCTGAATAAAGTGCTTCTTCTTAAATAAATCATCCAGGAGTGCCTGTGATGACTATTTTGGAGAAAGGGTGATTTTTTCTCGGCCCTTTGATAGTCCCAGTAATTATATCCAGGCAGATCAAAATTTTGGGAAATTTTTTTGAATTGGTTTGGATTGGATCCCCAATCAAAAGGACTAAAGATCTTCATGATATGAAAGGTTGAATGAGTGATAAATTCTGGTTGGTTTTTATCTTCATAGTCTTTAAACTCACAAGAGTTTGAATCAATAAGAATAAACTCATAAAAAATTTTAGTTTTCCTTAAATCTTCAGTGAAAAAATGAAAACCTTTTGGAAAAATTTGTTGAACTAATTGTTCAAGGTTTTTAAAATCATATCCATCTTCGAAAACCAAAAGATTTGAAACAATTCCTTTTTGAATATATTTTTGTCTAGGTTTAAAGGCTTTTAATGGTGTAGTTGCAGGAACAAGTTCTTTATTTTTTTAAGGAGCAATTTGAGTTGCCTTTTGTAGTTCACTTAATGAATTTTTTCACATTGGGAAAATTCTTGGGAACTTCTTGGAAGAGTTTGTGGATCTTTAAATTTCAAAATTTATTTTATGGAAAATTTGATGTTAGCCCAATCATGGCTAGGGCTGCTTCTGGACTTTGCTGAAAAGAGTTGATTCAAGTTTGGATTCGCTCTGTATTTGTTGGGCTCTGAGAAGAGCTTGTTGAGGCTATGCCTTTACCTTTTGATTGTTGGGTTTTTTCTTGGGCTTCTTCTTCACATACTAGTTCATACCATGATTTAGTGTTTGTGGGCTTTTAGGGTTGGTCTTTTTGGGTGGCATGATGGTTACCTCCCTTGAAGGAATTCCCTGGTAAGGAAGTTAGGTAGGGAATTAGCTTCTCCTTTGATGTATTCAATGTGAAAATCAAACACACATAAAATTGCTTGCCATCTTGCAAAAATTTGTTTTAATGCAATATTTTGAACATCTTTTTGTAAAACATGTTTAGCAATTTGGCAATCAATACGAAGTAAAAATTTTTGATTGAGTAAATCACTTTGAAATTTAGAAATGCATAAGATAATGGATCAAATTTCTTTTTTGACAGTGGAGTATTTTTGTTAAGTTCATTCCAAAATTTGGAAGGATATTGGACAACTTGTTCTCTGTTATCTTTTACTTGTTTGAGAATACCTCCATATCCAAAATCTGAGGCATCTATTTCTACTATTTTGAAGGCTAATGAGTCTGCTAAATGCAAACATGACAAGTGGGTAATTTGGACTTTAATCTGTCGGATTATATTAGTGTGCTAACTTGTCCATGGTTTTAGATTTTTCTTCAATCTTTCATATAAAGGTTTGCAAATTTGACTAAGTTTTGGATAGAAATCCATTATATAATTAATACTTCTTAAGAATTTTTGTAATTGAGTTTTGTCGGTGA